ATTATTATTATTATTATTATTATTATTATTATTATTATTTTGACAGTGCATGCTCAAGTGGAAAATCAATCTATTGGCCTCAAAGTTAATGAAATAGGGATTTTACCAAAAAATTGCCATCATACTTTTAACAAACTATGACTTAATATAATAATATTGGCATGTCTTCCCCTTCTCTAACAAAGTATCAAGAGCTGACATCTTTCTATTACAGGGTGTATGGCTGATGATCAAGACTAGTAGTCACTCTGTCTAGACACAGTCTTTCGTTTAAAAGTTTGGGGATTTGAACACCCATCCCCATTAAAAACACTAGTGACTGTCATTTAACTTAAGGGTGATCAAATCTGCTATCAAAAGCTATGCATTGACAAATTAAAGACATGCTAAAAAATGCAAAAAACATTTTTGTTTTTATTTGCCACTGAAATAAGGCAATGTATAATGATAATCACATTCCAATGAAAACAACGTTCAAATTGCCATTGGAACCAAACTTATAATAAAACCACACTTTACCACCCTAAGTCACCGCTAAAGAAAACACAAGACAAAGATCAATGCTTATCCAGCCATGGAAAAGCAACAAACTCAAGGAAACCACTAGGAGTAGCAACAATAAAATATGGTTTCTTTTTGTTTAGAGTAGCATTCAGAGCCAAGTGCAAGGCCTTCATTTTTATTTCAGAGAAAATTGCTTTGAACAGCAGATCACCTGGAAGAGGATAATGCTATGCATTGCCAGATAACAAATCTATATACACACTGATGCACTATTGAGAAACTCTGTTCATCTGCAAACAGAGTTTCCCAAATGAAAACAAGGGGTGCTTACCATTTACAAAAACCACCCAGTTGGAAATTTCAGGCATAAAGATTAAACAATTGAATACCACATTGCGGGAGAGGGAATCGCTATAAAGTATATCCACATCAGTTAGAGAGACTTAAAAGAGCAGAAAAATAGCATCACCTCAAATCACAGCCCRTATTTTCTGAAGCTTCCCTAACGGAATGGCGCGATCCATTTGATTTTCCAACTGGAATTTCCGGTTTTCCCACGTAAATGGTAAGTACCCAAGCACTGACTGTAGGGATTGAAGAGCTATCACTATTTTTTCTCTCCCTCCCACTTGATCATCCTTTGCCCTCATGCCTATACTTAAGATACTTTTTTCCCCTTGACAACTCTCCGATGGCACTTGCCTATACACTAAAGAGCATGTACTTGCCCATTCATAACAATTTGGTGTCAATGACTCCATCACTTATATCAAATTAATATGTCCTACGACCTCCTCTGAGACCCAGTTTGAATGAAATTCTGCCTTGCAACATGTGTTGAAATTCCCACAGCTATGTAAGGCCCCACTGACATGGTTTTGGTTACCTGAGACAACCCTCCCCCTGAGGTCAAGCATTCATATGTGAAAGCGTTGTCCCTGTAGTGGCTGAGTCAAAGTTGACGTGGCATGATTATTCATAACCCTTATTGAGTACTCAAATGTGCAAGCTCTTTCTTTGAGTTTTCCTTGCTAAATCAATCACAGTGGGTTTTGCCGAGTTAATTTTCACCTCCTTGATTCAAATTTCTGCTTTAAATTCTAAATCTAGGCATTATGTGACACTCACCATGCCAAGAGTTGTCCCGACTGGGTAAGCCAAAGTGTTCACATGAAGAAAAGTTGTCCTGCCTGTCAGGGTTACCCTACCTGCCAAGAAGAGACAACTCCACCAACCATGTTGTCTCCCCCTCCCAACCCCCAAGATGGGTTCGCGATCCTCAAGCAAACGTTTGGTTGAATTTTACAAAGAAATAAGTGAAAAGTTAGCTCGGCCAGGGTAACTCTAGGGAAGGGTTGTCTCGGGCACTCAAGACCATATAAACGGGCCCTAAGACATGTAAGGACCTTCAGAAATGAGAACAAGAAAAGGTATGAAATTGGGATCCACTCACCCCTAGGTTTGTCCCAGTATTTTTGGAGTACTGTCTCCAATAGAACAACATGACAGTTGTGTAACATGGCAGGCAAATAAAGTCTTGTATTCAAAAATAACCACTGGCTGTTACAGGTAATACATTGCGTTACCTTTAGAAGCATCAATATTGTAACGCTACAGTCTACTTCGTATGGTCCAGTGAAAAATTATAGGCTTGCATGTTACCAGTTTCGTACTGTGTCTACGGATGTTGAACGATCCAAAAAGTCATATACGTAGCGAAAGAGACACCATAACATGCCAAATAAAAGGCAGCATTCTCTACTACCAATGCACTCTACTGTCACCGCTAATGTTGAAAAAAAAAGTTTTGAGAAGGTAGCCTCGCCTCAAATCAGTTCTCAATCACATCAACAGAACAAACATGCATGGACACGTACAGCCTCCACATAATAGCAGTTTTGGACAATGTTTTAGCTCTTTTGTGAATTCATCACTATATGGCTACCTACTTAGGATAACTTACCACGGTATTCTGTGTTTTGAGTTGGATTCCCAAAGATTTCGGATGTTCAGTTTGGTCATTTTGCGTCTACCCAGCATCCCTTCCAGCCAACTCATGACGTCATCCGAGAACCGGAACTCGAGAACCGAGAACTCCCTTTAAGAATTTTTATGAATAATTTTTGGAATGCATTCATCTCCAAGGCAACAAACACACCAGGTTTAAACGCGCACATTTATTTTCAAGTTTCGTAGTAGGGAAAAATAACGGACAGCGCGCGGGCACAAACTCTGATACGTACAGCCTCCCACACTACGGGCTCTTTGCGTTCGTCACGCAATCTTTTCCGCGTGACAGGTCCACTTCGGAAGCTTTCTGGAATTCAACATCGTAAAGGAATATTACGTATTTTATTTGTTCAGCTTTTCAAGCCAATGGATTCTTGTCACAAATAAATGATTAATAACGATAATAACTGGCGGATTGTCATCAATTTTGTTTAACAGTAACAGGCCCCTGGTATTGTATTGTAACTCGTTAAGTAACGTAATGTGTAAGTCGTAATAAGTAATTATTGCGTATTGTAAATAAGTAAGGTAATGTCAAGTATTGTAAATAGGTTTTTTACGTATTATAAGTGACGTTTGTAAGACAGTAAAAGCATTAGAAATAATAATGATAATGATGATGATGATGATGACGACGACGATGATCACGATGATGATGACAATAATGTAGTGTATTGTAAGTAGGTTAAGTATCGTGTCGTGTTGTAAGTAGAGTAAGGCAATGTAAGTAATTGTGTTTAGCAATAAATAGAAAAAAAAGGCCCGGGGAGGGGGGGCGGGGGGCACTCCCTTGTGTGGGCTATATATTGTAGGTTTGTGCAGCCCCAAACGGTATGGTTTTTGAGCCACTTTGGTCATAAATAGGGTATGGATGTGTTTTTTCAGAAGAAACTATTTTTTCATCATTACCAATAAGACCATGAACAAAAGCCCTTCATGATGCCTTTAAAATCAGTCTGATCTGAGGGTCAGGTCTTAAATAGGGTATGCAATTTTTGATTGGGTCATAAATAGGGTCAGGAAAATCACAGATTTTGGTCATAAATAGGGTAAGGGTTTTGGGAAGTGGGCTGCACACCCCTACCCAATTTATCTGGGAGTATCCCCCCGGGGTAACAGACCAAGGCCAACAGCCCCAACAGCATATCTGGAAGAAGGAGCAAATGCCATCATATTGTGGTGGCTGGCATGAAATCCTTTTTAGAATGGTTTCTTTTAGAGTCAAATAAAGTTTGAGCCACGCCCAGGTTGATGACCAAACAAACATGATTTATTTCACAATGGGAACAGTTTAATTATTTTCCAACATTTATTTTTTACAGAAACACAGTACTTATATACTTCTTATAATTCCGATTCAATGACTACTAATTTCTGCAATATAAGCAGTTCATTTTGTGACATTTCGGTGAAGTTGTGCCTGCTAGAAGGACCCCCCTTATACAGAGTCATCCAGATGGGTAAACAAACATTGCATTATAAGTACCTGTTCACCATTTACAAGTACAATCACAAAGTTGGCTAACGTGGAGAAGGGAGGGGGGAAAGCAGGTGAACTGTGACCTTTTCAGTTAGGGAGTAAAAAAAATTTTCCATATAAATAACAATTTGCATATTTGATTTCCCACTTTTCTTCCCCTTTTTATGCCTGTTGCACCAGCTATCTTTCAAAGGCAGAAAACTGACAGAGCATGTGCAAAACAGGCGAGGAGAATTTTTGGCCGTGTTGGAAGGGACCCAATATTCGTCATATAAACGCTCAGTAAAAGATGGCTTGGAATCTACAAAAATGGGCAGGGAGGTACAACTTCTTGGCAAGAACTTCCCAAGGCTTTTTCAAGCATCTGGTTACTTGGGAACAACACAGAGAACTACTGCAAACCGAATCTGCCAACAAATTTCTGTGCTGAATTAATGAAAATAAAATGCAGAAAAGCTACAAACTCCACCATGATTATAATTATAAAATAATTAAAATATTCGAATTCTACGGAATTCCATTCATTTTTATGCCCTCAATTCTACCTTCTCAGACTAAAGTTGTTCTTGGCAATGGTAACTATTAAGCAAGGATTGTACCATTCAGAAGGGGACATTGGGGGCTTCTGAACACTGCAGTGCCACAAAAAAAACTGGCAAATACCACAGTATCGCAAGAAAAAAAAAATCACCAAATATCGCAATACTTCAATACCAAATCGAAACTCAATGTCATACCAAAACCATTACCCTACTAACAATGAAGAATTTGTTAAAGAATGTTAAGTCAGGTAACTTTCGACTTAGACAAAATAAGCAAAATAGGTAACATCTATTGGCATGTTGACTAATAATAACTATCAAAACATAACTAACCCTTTTCCAATTGTGACACAAAGAATCGCAGTTTTCCGTTACCAAGAGAGCTAAGTTTCATTGGGAATGTCCAATTGGAAATTGAAAGAGACTAAGAAAACATTAGAGGACTTGGAGGATAATATCTAATACCACCCAAAATGCTAAAAAAAACCGCATCCCACAGGTTCAGAGAATACCACAATACCGCATTTCAGGATTAAAATTACCACAATGCCACAAGAAAAATTGTCCAGTACTGCAATACCGCAAACCCCAATGTCCTCCTCCACTCACAAAAAGTTGATATATATCATAATATAACGTATTTACAAATTACCTTTTTGTCTTTTTATTTTAATCACTTTTTACTATATAATAAAAGCAAAAGGAATCTCCGTTATTTTATACATGTAGTTTGTAATTGCTTAACTTGTTGTATTACTAGTGGTTTGTATTTTCCCTTTTATTCTTTCACCCACAGAGCAATTCCTGTACATACCATAGTATTATCTTTCTATATGAACAATTAAGTTTGAAATAACTATCTTCAATAATTTCAATACAGCATCACTGCCTAACATTAACATCAATCATCAAAGCAATGTATTCTTGTGAAATAGAGCGGAAAAGATAAGCTAACACAGGGACAAGGAGATGATGAACATTATGTGCTAAAATGCATGCTACAGTCTAACTAATCAATTCATTTCCTTTTCACCTTTCCACAATAAATTATTAAACATTCTTCTTGTCAGCATCTCCATATGGAGGTGGTGCATATGGAGGTGGAGCCTACAAAAAAAATTATTTAAATTAGATAAAACTTTACACATTATTGAAATAAATGAAGAGGTTCTTTATGATATCAGTTGGTGAGAGTAAAAGTAGTTTTTTTTAAAGCCATGACCGGGATCATTATGTTTTGTTTTTGTGTAAGACTTAACATTCACAGTGCCTGACTCCACTCGAATTTAATGCTGCAGGATTACTATGTGATGGTCAAGAATGCAGTCGGGGGGTGGGGCAGGAGTCGCGAATAAAACCAATGAAATTTGCTTCATGTTACAGTAACCAGAGACAGAGTAGCCTGATGTGGGCCACAGGGATCATGCACACAAAACCTGAGCTATATTTTCACCATCACTTGGACTGATCAAGGATTAATTCTAAGACTACAAGATAGTCCCTCTTTTGCTTAGTCTGTTGAGTGTGACCGTAAAATGGTTGCATGAAATCCTGGGGGTAAGAAGTGTATGAAAGGACCTTCTTTTGTGCACTTCTTGCCCCCAGCATTTTACGCTGCCTTATTTTTTTCTCATGGTTTTCTTTTGCATCATGCACATCTGACTAAGTGAAAGAGGGACTACTGGTAGTCTAATCAAGGGTGTGATCAGAATTCTAGTGTTGAAGCTTATTTGGACTACCAGCTCACACGTTTTTTACATGTTTGCAGGAGTCTTAAATTTTGTGGCTGATCAGGTACCTACATGTATATGTACATATACCTCACTCACCTGTGGGCTAGGCACGTAAACATTTTGTCCTGTGCTGTAAGCTTCTCTTGCTTTTGCATCTATATGGGTATCAGAGAGCATTGTAAAATGACATGTTATGGCTCCAGCGTATTTGTATGTTGAACAGAAACTTACATAAGTCAAGTCTGTATGCCTTAAATTTTCAATAATTGCTTCTCTTGGCAACTAAAATATAGGAACTGAATTCTTCAAGTCTAGCCCCTTGGGCTTAATAGACCAGTTTCAATATATTAAAATTCAGCCTGTTAAACAATAGACTTCAGTATGAGACTCTGGGGAATAACTACAGAGTTTGTGGGGTTTATTCCCCTGAGCCTCGTACTGCGGTCTATTGTGTTAGGCTGAATTTTAATTATGTCTATTGCTCACAGACATATTGGAGAAAGGAAGAAAGCTGCCTAGTCTGAATCCAGTATGAGAGAGCAAGTAAAGTTTTGGTGTGTCATATTGCAAAATTTGATTTTTCTTCTTTTTAATGTTCTTTGACTAAAGTTTATTTTTTTTATTTTTTCATTAATTGGTAAATGTTCCTTCCAGGCTTACAAAATGTTGACCATGAAGTGCCAATATGAGCATAGAAACATTTACTGTGCCAAACAAATCAAAACATGGAAGATATTTAAATATGTTCATTTGGATTTGACTGGAGATAAGCTAGTAAGTGGTTGCACATGTGTGCCTATGCATGTAAGTGGGTATGGCCTGGTCAATAAACAAGCTACAATAGAAAACTGATTCTTGCAGATTAAGATGCATCATTGACTTGCTGTATGATGCACACTGGAAGTTTGGAGAAAAGTGTACTGAAGAGTGACTCAAACTGCAACCAAGAGCAACTCTAGCTGATTGAGTGCTCTTCAAACTTCCCAAGAGTATCATAACTATATTTTCATGCCAAAAGCATAAATCACTCATTTCATAACATTGCCAGGATAAATGGCAAATCAAAGTTAGCTTTGCTTAAGCCATGAGCATGGGTGCATCATAGAGTATGATGGATGCTTAAATTTAAACTGAGTTTGATAGTCCAGCTTTGCTAGCTATGTGTTATAATCTACAATATTACGCTACTAACCTCCATATGAGTAGCTTACATAACCATCAGAAGGTGGTGGTGGTGCAGATGGAGCAGCCTGTCCTGGATAAGGAGGGGGGTTTTCCTGTTAACGAGTCATATAGGAAGCATTAGAAAGAATCAGCTCAACAATGCCTCAGAGGAAATTTAAGGGAGGGAGGTCATACAACTAGGCTTTTGGCCAGTTAACATAGGCATCCAAAATGTATTATGGGGTCTGCTCAAATGAACAATTTATAAAGCAACATGCAACAAATAAAAAAAAAATTCTTTCAAAAGTGGGCATCCACAGGATGCATGGACACCAATCTGGCTAACAGACATCTACAACCCCCTCTTGATCATAATTTAGAAATCAGACAAAATGTCTACATATGAGCTACAATAACAGATGGCAGACATTCAAGATAGGATGGGCAGCTTTTTTGGATGCTTAAGCCTCTTTGGCCTGCTTATGTGACCATAAGAGTGGGAATGTTTGTTGGGCCATATGGTCTGCATACATGTAATAAAATAAAGTTTATCATAGAAAAAAAAAGTACGAATAAAGGATTAATTCCATTTGACTTTATAAGACTTGAACCATGATTAAATTAAAACATAACAAACTCACATGGGGCTGGTATGGTGGCGGCTGACCCATTACACCAACTGCAAATAACAACATGCCAAAGTTAACTTTGCAGGAATTGTTACTCAGACAATCAGTGAATAGCCCATAACTTGTAGGTATGCTGTTTTTACTTGAGTGTAGAAAGTAATGCATATTTGCTTTGGTTTTGCATTAGAATGGTTTTCAGTTGAGTGTCATAAAAACAAAACCAAACCAATCACTTACCAATTAGACTACTCAGCCAAACCAAACCATAGTAAAATCAAAACCAAAACTGAAGTACCGGGTAATTGCCTGATTACTTTGAACACTCCGTTGAAAAGTGCTCTATCATGCTTAGTGAATCAATAGTGTAAAAGATTCACACGACTTTCTCATCCAACCAGTCTGTGCGTTTGCTCTGAGTTCATGCCTGGCCACACTGATTACCATGGTTTTGTTATAGGACACTCAACTGAAAATCGCTCTGACTAATAATTTCATATACCCTACCTGGAGGTGGATAGCCGGTATATCCTCCAGGGACTGGGGCTGGGTAAAATGCTTGTCCTGGAGCTGGATAATAGCCAGGTTGTGTTGGGTACATATTATTGTAGTAATTGCCGCCACCATTCATGAATGGAGCTTGTCCAGCTGGTGGTGGTGGCTGAGCACCTGGCCTGTGGGCTAAAAATATCACTAACAGTGAGTTTCAATTTTCATTGTTATTATATGGCGAACATGAGTTTGTTCACTCACAGATGATTTGTATAAATTGTTATTAAACTCCACTCACCACTAGCTACAGCACGTTTAAAGTGTTCTGCAAATTCTATAGCTCCACCACTGTTGAAGGTTACCTTAAATAATCCTCTGCCATGCCAGCCACCTGAAAACCAATCAGTCAAAATTAATACAGTTGATCATTGATTATCTACACTTTTATCCTCTACTTGCAATCATTCATGTTTATAGCTAGCAATAACGATGACAATTTTAAATTACATAAATTTTAAACACAGTGTAGACCTGAAACATGTTTAAAAGTAGACAAAGGAATTCAGGTACCAAATATTATCTACCACAGTACAAAGAATGCAAATGTGCCACATTAAGTACTTCAGCGAAAAAGTTGACAGCCTTGATTAAATGATATGCAAATGCTCACCATCTGGCTCAGAAATTACATCTCCTTTAACATAATTAGCACCAAACATTGGCTGCTTGACCTGTAAGATAACATAAAGACATTGCTTTATGACAGACAGACTAAATTAACATAATAACATACCCTAACTATTAAAAGGGGGAGGGGGTTATGACCTAAACCAGGCATAGTCAGTTGATAAACGGATAATCGATATTAATTGATAACAATCGATTACCAATAGCAATCAAAAAAAATTGATGATGACAAAAAGCTGTGAGTTATTGATTGCTGAAAGTAATCAACAATGATTGATTATTTTATGGATTGGTATCGATTATTATTATCGATTGTTATAGGAAATTATTTTTGTCCTCTTACAAGTTGCACTGATGAAATGTGTGACAAAATTTGTCTATAATGGTTTTATTGAGTCAATTTATCATAGCCTGCATATGCTCGAAAATCATTGACAAGATAACAAGAAGGGAAACTTTACATCTTTCTTTGTTAGTTTATGACACTGGAAGACGCTCAGCCCAGAGTAGCAGCATAAAACTCTCCAGTCTCATTGTAGCGTAGGCATTCAGATGAAGTAAAATAAACAACAGAGTCAGTGTTCCAGTGATTTCAATTATTTGCATTAGGAAACAAACATAAGAATAGATCTCGGAGTAGGCCAAAAGGAAAATATAATCTACTAACATGTTGAAGATGAACATCTCGTGTTCAGTCCAGGTATTATTTTACACAATAACAAAGCCATCTTTGAATAGTCCAGGTGTTTATTAAGACAGGAATTATCGATTGTTATTGAATTAATCAATTTTTGCCAATTAATAGCAAAATTATCTGTGAGCTACCGATTGTTATCCATTAACGATAGCAATCGGTGATTGATATCGATTGATATCGCTTGAGTCGAATAATTTCTGATATCGATTTTTATCGATTGACTACACCTGGCCTAAACCACCAGTTCATGTTTAGTGGGGGGAAAGTGATTATGCTGACAGCCCCTAACTTACCACCCATACTTTACAACTTTTGGACCAGACAAGATAATTTTCATAATTTTGTTTTGCAAACGAACATCAACACATAAAAAAATTGAATATAGCAAAGACAAGTCTGGAAGAAACACTGCTGTCAAAACAAGGTACTGCTGTGCAATAATAATTATGGTAGGAAATAAGCAGTGCCAAATCAGTATGCCTCTTTCAGTTTTAAACCCAGGGGTTTAGTGACGAATATTTTGTTCACTTTATTTAAGCTTATGAGCTACTTGTATGGCTCACCTCAACATTCCGAATACTGTGAAAATTCATCGAAAAGGAACCATAAGTGGATCCCGTTGTAGGCGCAAATATGACCTGAAAATAAATATGTTATATTGTACATGTAGCAGTGGTAAATTCAAATTGTCACAGCTTTATACAAATTTGATGAAATTCTCATCTGTGAAACTGACAGAGTAAATAATGATTTCACGACTTACTTTCTGAGTAGTGATGAAAATATTTCCTTTCTTTGAACCTTTCAAGAAACTCGGAATCTCGTCACCCTCGAGTGTAAACTCGACGCCATCTTGATGGTACACAACACTGTAAAACACAGTATACCACACGTTTAGCGATCATAATCATACCTAAATATGAATGTGAAATCGTTTACATACTAGTCTCCATGAAGGGTTAGTCTTCCATTTGTACAAAGAGCTTTGTTCATGGACATTTTTGAAGCTATATGTCTTCGTATTATGTTTAGCCTTCTCTACTTCGTCACGATATTTTATATTCCTAGATGACGTCATTTAGAGCTTGGTAGCCAAGCATAGAGCATAGAAAATGACGTAATGAAACTTTTTTCGGACCCACTTTGCTTGGCTTGAACGCCTCGTCGTTGATACTAAAAAGGATAAAAACGAAAAGAGTATTTCTTAACAAGGCTGCACCTTGAGTCCTATTCTTTTTAAACTATCCGCAGAACTACTAGCGCAAAAGATACGTCAGCTCCTAAATAATGTATAAGTAAAACTAAACCAATTTGCTGATGATACGACCCTAATCTGTAAGGATATTGAATCACTAAAGGAAAATATAATGATTATAAACAAGTTTGCTGAAATCTCAGGTCTTAAATTGAACAAAAAGAAGACCAAAGCTATCTGGATTGGATTGCAGAAGTAGAATAAAAGTAAACCTTTAGCAATAGACATAACTAATGAACCAACTTAAACACCGGGAATCTATATTTCGTACAATCCGGTAATAAGAATAACGACCAAAATGTTTTCATCAAAATTCAAAAAATGGAAACAAAACTAAATGTTTGGCTGTCTTGGGACCTCACCCTTACGGGACGAACTTTATTGGTAAAAGCATTAGGGATTTTTAAAATAGTATACTCAGCCTCAATGCTATGTGTTCCAGAGGAAGTTATTAAACGAGTGCAGGAAAAGCTCTTCAGCTTTCTTTGGCGAAACAAAAAGGACAAAACAAAAAGAACTGTACTGTATCAAAGACCGTGTGGAGGAGGTCTAAACTTTCCAAATGTTAGAACAACTGTTAAAGCACTTCGATTAAGCTGGATAGGCAGGTTACTAATGATGTTTGGAAAGCAATTCCCATTGCTTACTTCAATAGATATGGAGGATTACCGTTTCTCCGCTTAAAATGCAACTATAACACAAAAAAATTAGACAACAATATTTCCCCCTTTTACTCAGAACTTCTAGATTACTCTAGTGAATTGCGAGACCAATACAGGGATGACTGCTTCAAAGGCGACTTAATTATATGGAACAACAAAGATATCACTATCGAAGGAAAATCTTTGTATTGAAAACCTGGAGTGAGCGTGGGGTATATTTTGTACAAGATCTTCTTAAGAATACTGGCAAATATCTATCTTATGAAGATTCAAGACAAAATACAACATTGAAGTCAATTTTATTTATTATTGCCAAATTCTCTCTCTCTCTCTGCAATTCCCAAAAGTCTTATATTAAAAGCTATGATTATTAAAAAATCTCTAGAAACAATCACAGAAGAATCTGATGTATACCAGCTTGTCGAAGGAAAAACCATCAGTTTGTCTAAAATGCGGTGCAAGGATTATTACTCACTCTTCCAAGTGAAATGGGAAACACAACCAACATCAGTTCAATCATAGTCCAAACATTAACCCACACCCCCCACTTAGCCAACAAATGGAATAACTTATTTAAGAACATCTCAAAAATGTCGGCAGACAATAAATTAAGACAATTCTCTTTCAAACTACTTCATAGGATACTAGTAACCAAAACGGATTAGCTGTGAATTTTGGCGCGGATTCCGGATTGTACCTGTCTTGATGTTCGGATCTTGGGTCCTAAACGAAATTTGAATCATAGATCTTTCTTCAGCCTTGGTCGGCATGTTAATGAGTTCATCCGAATTATTTCTTTTTTCGAACGAAGCTCAATTAAACTTAGGTGTGAGACTGTTATTGGAATTGTACTGTATTATAATCATCAAGCATGTTGCCTACTTTACTACTTGTGCGAAATTAACAATGGCATTCACATTTACCAGTTTAACTCTGAACTTTTACAATTCTGTTTCCGGATGTGGTTATGGTTTCGGATTTGATCAAAAATATTGGCGGATCGGCGGATTTGGCTGAAAAAAGGCACGGAACAGCGGATTTGCATACCCCTATTCAACCCCCTCCCCCCTTTTTAAAATACACAGCAATTGGTAACTTCTTGTACGTTTTTTAGATAAATTCATAGTAAAGACAAAAATTCAATCATTCATTCGAGTTTGGGTCTTTGGGTATGTTGCATATTTTTCCTATCACATCCCTAGCAAGGCAATTATTTGCGCTACCGTAATTTGATTGACGCGCCGTTTGCAGTTTGATTTCAGCATAACTTTCTACAAACGTAGTTACGTTAGTGATGTTTCTGGTTTTTGTACACTCTGCATGTTCAACTACCTTACTCGTCTAACTCTAGCTGAATCGTCCTATAAAAGTACCGACGTTTTGGCGTTTTTCTTAACATATTTTTTTCTGACGATTTACCAGTAGCCCTGAAAATAATAAAAAAACAACAACATATGATATCCATCAGTTTCAGTCGATCTAAACTGAGGCCTGCCCCGTCCAGGCCCTGGGGAAGAGACTGCTCGTTATTGATGGTATAGTCTATAGCGGATACATGAAGTACACACCGACTGTTTTGCATGTGAAAACCGTGTGCCGGTCTTGTGCAATGTACCCTCGTGGAATTTGTCTCAGAGGCAAAATGTTATCTTTAGCTGCTTAACGGTTCTAAAATGACAGTGTTTTCTAAAACTGCCAGCTTTAATGATCTGGTTCCTCTTTTGCCGGCGTTGGACCTTCCTGCCACCCTCAAAATGTTGTTCTCACATCGGAACTTTGTTCACGCTCTCGCCGGCGCGGTGGTAAGTGGATATTTATCCATTACGTGGTACGATTGTCATAAAAGCTTACGTAATGTTTAGGGCAATTTAATTAAAGGACTAGTAGGCCTGTGGATTGTCAGGAGAACCGAAAACTGTATAAAACAGAGAGATTTTTCGGTTTTTTTTTTCATGACGGTCCGTTATCCTTGCCGGCATTATCGATTAGTATCGTCGATTACATTAATACACCGATTCCAGAAAAAACCCGGAAGTTACACCGAAACTAGGCTTAATAGCCCTCGCGGTAAATATTCAAAGCAACATGGTGTACGAAGAAGTGAAGTCAATCTCTCTTCTGATGATATTCCCGGCGTTAGTGTGAACGAAGAAGAGATTGAAATATTGACACTCAGCCAATTAAAATTCTGGCTTAAAAGTCGCCGTATAAATTAATGTGGCAAAATAAAGGAACTTTTGGAAAGATATGTTTGCCATNAAACAACACAAGTAAAAATACAAAGCGATACTATACACCAAAACATCTAATAAGAGATTTATTATCCAACTACTGTGGTCAATAAATTTATCAATGAAAGAGGGAAAGTGTGACAGTTTTGCGTGTGCGTGCCAACCTGTATGGCAAACAGGTTTTCTACTGTACAAATAACTGTACAATATCGCTGTATGTTTGTACTATCATTTGGATGGTATTTGCTACAGTTGGATAATAATGGTGTGTATTAAAAGGCCTCCTCTATAAAGTGGTAGCCTGAGTATCAGGCTTTTCTTACTCACAGGGTAGGAGGAGGAAGCAACCGGCAAAGAAAAGCCTGACACAAAGGTCTTTGTTGCAGTCTTCCACCGATCCTCATAATGTGACAAGTGTCAGTATATGTATTAACCAATTGATTATTTCCGGCTGTCATGTTTACTTGCATGCATCACAGATCACAACGGCGGAAATTTGAGCAAATAATCCAGTTTCATCCATGTCTGTAATGGTTTCCGAGAATATTTGCACAATTTGCCCCAAAAATTTTCACACAGAGTATGGAAAGTCTGGAACTTCTAACAAAGAGTTTTCTAATGTTTTGGGTGAAAAACCTGTCATTCTCATTGAATTATTGCTCAAGTTAAGAATTGTTGTCATTCAAGATAGTGAAGACAGCAAAAGTTCTGTTTACAAAAAATGTGCTAGGAAAATAGTGAATTGTTACAGAATGTTCACAGAGTTCTGGGAGGCATTTGCAGGTGGTAGAGCTCTCGAAGAGGCAAAGGAAAGCCCTCCACGAACTCCTTCGAGAGCCATTCTTAGGGGTTCAATTCCTGTTTGAGACCAACGAGCCCGCAACTGGAGTGACTCCTAAGGCAACCATAACCATATTATGTTGTGATTGATGTCAGTAAATATACATGTACAGACTGCAGAAGTTTTGTTTGTATAGTCAGCTATGATACCCAGGATAATTCAATCCCTTATTTATTAAATAAATTAATATTTGATAATAAAAATATTGTTATTGTTTTAGATGGGAATATATATACTGTTTACATGTAAGAATTGAGGTTTCTGTATGAGTCTAAAACACCTGGTGTTTTGTATAGCAATTGTAATTGCAATGTGCGAATTCCGGTGTGACATGTAGTCTTGAACACTCTACATTTTGATAGGGAAGTGTGACAGCCATGACAGTGTTTTATCCTTTGGATACTGCAAGAACCAGACTTCAAGGTTGGTGAGATCGTTTTTTAATTGTTGTGAAAATCAGTCTGAAAATTGGAGAAATTTCTAGTCAAACTACACCCTCTGAGGTCACTTAACTACATGTACATGTGCAGTGTAACATTTGAAGCATAATTTCTGCTTTTGAAATTTTTTAAGAACCGTGACATTTAATTGTCTTTTCTTTTGGAGGGCACTACATTTACTTATAGTGGGGGGGGGGGGGGGGGGGGGTCATTACTTTCAGAACTTTGTGACAATGGTCACAAACACCGAAATGTCAACTGTGGCTGACATATGAATATATATTTTTTAGTTAAAGGTTAAATATTTTACTAATTGCTACAAAAAGTGATATGTAGCTGTAGTACATGCCGATTTGTAAAGGGGAGTGTGAGAAGTGGAAACTAAGTTAAACCATTCTTATGATTCAAGCCATACTTTTCCCTAGCATGGTTAGTGATTGCCTGCATGATCATGACCATGTGTATTGTCATGTATTTATATTGCTCATGTTTTACAGTTGATGACAAAAGAAAAGCAAAGAGCACAGCTTATATATTAATGGATATTATTCAAGAGGAAGGAGTGTATGTATTTCTTAATTTTCATTGGGATAATTGAAGGATACAATGAAAGCTTATCTACATGTACATGTACCTGTTTTGTCTTACAAAATGTTTAGTGGTGTGTGGTATAAGGTGGCTGTATTTAAGGAGCCTGCAAGTGCTAAATATCTATCTGGTGATTTCAGCAACTATGACTATTTTAATGAATTATCGCAACTTTCATGTATAATACATGTATACACACAGGAATACACTTAATTCTGATTGACAAAAAAACAAACAAATTTTCACGTAATATATGTTTCCTTATTCTTCAGGCATTCTTTATACCGTGGTCTCCTGCCAGTTTTATCAAGCCTTTATTGTTCAAATTTTCTTTATTTCTACACCTTTAATGGTCTTAAGACTGCTTTTGTGGGCAGAGGGAAAACATCTTCATCACTTCAAGATCTGTTATTTGGATATTTAGCAGGTAATGATAGTTTATAATAGTAAAGAAACAGCAAATTTTTAACAAAGTTACAGAAACATAAGGGGAAGTTAACATTCATGAGAAGGAGAAATGCCATGGGGAACATGAGCTACAGGCAAGTGTTTCCATTGCTTTTTCAAGTTCTCCAAACATTTTGAGAGTGTTCTGTAACTTAATAGAAACAGGGGGGGACACGGGGAGAAAAAGAAAGTGAGTCATTTGTTTATTTTGGTTGAGTAGGTACATGTACAAGTGTCCCACACTGTCAGAACGTATTAGGACTATATCCCCCTTCTGGATGGTATAGTCATGTCACAAAATGAAATTTGCCTGTACCCAATAATTTTACACCTGCGAGTGAGTGGAGGGAGGCAGTAAGTAAAGTGTATTGCCCAGCAAGAATGCAAACCATTGACGCCAAGTCCAGTGCACCTCCCCCGTATTTATTAGTGGAAAATGGCGCTATATAAATGTATATTTATTTATTTTTTATATTTATTTTTTTATCTTTGCCTGCAGTGCAGTGTGTCACATCAACAGCTCATGCTAATTCTTTGTGTTTCTATTAAGTTGACGACATATGGCTTTTAGAGAGTGCTTTCTTTACAGAGTCTTTTCTAAATTACATGTTAAGGGATCTCAGAGGTTTTACCAAAATGACTTTGATATAGTGAAACCAACAAGGGCATACATAACATTTTGTAACAAACCCCTTTACGCATGTATCTAGGGAATTCCTGGTAGAGCCAAAGTATTCTTCAGTCTGACCAAAGTTACAGATATAACAAACCTCAGTAATAAAACAAATGATCCATTATAACAAATGCCATGTGAGTAGATGGATGGGTAGGTGAATGAGGCAGTTATCCCTTTGAGTGGAAAGACAAAGTGCTGGTTGTATAAGGTGATATATACTCCACTTGGGAATCATTTCAGAACACACGTGGTGTGATAGGGGTACCTCTTGTAAATTGTCAAGACTGCAACCTGAGGACTAACAAGTATTTTTGAACAATTACATGTAATTTGTTGATTAATGGCTAGTCAAGTACAGCTGGACAAAGAGTCTATTTGTTGCAGGCATTGTTAATGTTCTCATGACAACACCACTGTGGGTAGTGAATACTCGCCTAAAGCTACAGGGAGCAACATTCAGAACTAAGGGTCTAGAATGCAACAAAACAAAAAAATACAAAGGAATTATCGGTGAGTACTATTTGCAAAGATCAGGATGGTTGATTTACAACTGTAAGTTGTGAATAGAATCTGTAAAAGGTTATTGACATATACAGAGTATATTTAAGATCTGCACTACAGACACAACAGCTTTCTGTATTATTATATACAGTACATCTGATTATTCTCACATTTTGATTGGTTCTTAATTGGAGGACCTTAAACACATAGATGACATCATTAACATTTTGTTTTTGATTCTTTTATTGCCATTTAAAACAAAATAATAGATTTCATGTTGCCTTGCATCTGTTCAGTAATTGATCACAGAAGATGTGGTAAGAACATTCAGTGACACACTCAGCTATCACCTTGTGTGTCACTTTTTTGCTCTTACCACATTTTGATGTTGACCTTTGATGTTGTCCTTTGATCATGCAATTACTGCACAGGTTCATGCACTGATGTTGGATCTTTGTATTCATGTATGTAATTGCAGATGGTTTACTACGAATTAGCCAAGAAGAAGGTCTGTCAACCCTGTGGAGTGGAACAGGCCCATCTCTTGTTCTTGCTGGCAACCCTGCTATTCAGTTTATGGTCTATGAAGCAATAAAGAAGTTCTTGATGCACGAAGATAAAAAGGTATAGAGTATTGTTTGCTGTTATTGTCACTCACACTGAATCAAACATTTCTGTTACATTTTGGCAGTAAGTAACCTGTCAGCTGCCCTTACTAAACTTATGTTTAATTTTGCAGGCTCTCAGTGGAAAACAATACTTTGCACTGGGTGCAATTGCCAAAGCTGTCTCCACTGTTGTTACTTATCCCCTACAGGTGGCTCAGTGCAAGCAGAGAGTAAGTTGATATTGCTTTCAAATGCATGTACCAGGACCTATTTGGTGGTGAAATTTAATAAAAATTGAACAGGTGTCAATTGTTTCTGTAGTTGCATCGCTGAGCCAGGCAGTGATTAAGAACATTATTTTCTTATTCCTCTCAGTCTGGACACAAAACACCAAATGGAAAAGCAGACATCTTCTCTCTATTAGCAAGACTTACGAGGTATGGCATTGCATTTGTTTGTATAAAGAAAGTTAGTTACCATTCTGTGTAATGTCTTTTAGGGTTTTAATTTCTCTTCTTGTCTTGTCTTCGTCTTCGTCTTCGTCTTCGTCTTCGTCTTCGTCTTCGTCTTCGTCTTCGTCTTCGTCTTCGTCTTCGTTTTCGTCTTCGTCTTCGTCTGGTCTTCGTCTTCGTCTTCGTCTTGTCCTCGTCTTCGTCTTGTCTTCGTCTTCGTCTTGTCTTCTTCTTCGTCTTGTCTTCGTCTTCGTCTTCGTCTTTGTCTTTGTCGTTATTGTTATCATTACCATGATTGTTACTTTTTATTCTCTTTTTAACCCCTCCCCGTTTCTCCTTTAAATTTTGACCATTGACTAACTGAGTGTATTACGATACTGATGTTTTACGGTTTCAATCCGAAACTTCTACCAAACACGAATCATGAAACGAATTTTCCTTTACTTCCTGTGGTCCCGAATTACCATTCGTAGCTCTAACGTAAGGAAGGAAATTCATGAGGCAGAGCTATTTCCAGTTAATTCTGTTATCTCCGGCTCAGACTTCATTAGCTTTGGACTTGGTGCTAATAGTGAACTTGTGTTTGTCCTTCAGGGAGCAAGGCGTCAAGGGTTTATATAAAGGACTGGAGGCTAAGCTGCTTCAGACTGTATCAACTGCAGCCTTAATGTTCGTCGCTTATGAAAAAATCGCTGCTTTCATTTTCAGATTACTTCGGACAACTCAGAGATGATCACTCCAGTGAATATTTAAAAATATACAATACTTTATTTTATTTCTTAGAACTAAAAAATAGGTGCGCAGGGCGTACTTTTGTGGCCTTCTTATCTGAGAAGAGTATCCAAACCTGCAGCCTTGTGCTAAATGTTACTTGATGTATGGTATTTACACAGCCGGATTCACTAAGCTCTTGATAATTCAGCTGAATTTGTCGTCAGTTTTTAAGATTCTTATAAACAGTTATAGCAACGCAAGTGTAAAACGTTCCACGAAAATCCAAACTTCTTGGGCTTTGCTTAGATTGTTCACAGCCCTCTGTTTTTCGTACTTTTTTTCGCGAAAGAATTGAAGTGGTTGGGAGGTTATTACTCGCTGTCTCTCAACTTCTATCTTTGAGTAGAAAAAACAGAGGCTGTCAACAGTTAAGGCCTAGTCCTTCGTCAGACGTCAACAGATGGTCGTTCTGTCCGAAACTAACACATTGATCCCACTTTTTATAATATTGTTTTTAAAAATCTGCTTTGAGATATTTTGATTTGACTGCTGTAAAAAAAAAAAAAAACACATCTTAACGAAATGTTGTTTATAGGCGCATGCTACATATTCTTTGATTTGCTTCATAATCTTAATTCCTTTTCAAATAAAATCTTTTATAATGTTAGATTTAAGTCTATTTTGTTGAACTGCTCCAATATCGCGAGAAATGACTTTTTTCAAAGAAATTATAGTTCCCCTCTCTGATTGCAAAGGTTCGTAATGAACCTCCACACCGGTGGTAAGGTTACTGTAATTGCTATTGCGTAAAAACAGAGCGTTATGACCCCTGTTTTTCACCGCATTTTATAATACCAGAAGCATTTACTGGCATACTAGGTTAAGGGTTTGGACCGTTGGGGCGGATTCTCCCCATCTAAAACTTTGTTGGGGACCACACCTCCCCTGCATCACTGATCATAGCAGTATAAGATGAATGCCACGGTTATAACACTCACTACAGTTCTTTGTAGCCCAGTGGTCCATGAGGTCACTGGTTGGAGTTTTAATTAAAACTCTTCCCACACTCTCGTAACAAAAGTTGATGAACATCTCACGATTCCTTCACTGACCTTCACATTTATCATTATTTCACTGGTAATAAGGATGTTTTCAATTTTTCGATGTCTTCGATGCTTAAATGATTTTGCTTGAGTCGAAAATGAACCACAACACAGAGACTATGATAGTTCTTTTGTTCCGTCTGCATTGTTTAATATCCGTTCCACAAATACTGCCATCGGTGCTTCATAGATTAGGAGGTTCTATTCAGTTTTTTAATTGAGTTTACCAATCGTTTCTTTATTGACGTCAAAATATCATGAGGATTATGCCAATCATGACACGATTTACCTTTAAAACTTTAACCTTTACCCCCTCTTCCGGAAAACAGTATTTCCAAACATGCTTCGTACCACGCGTTCACTTCCGGTGATGTCGTGAGGTCACGTCAAGTGGAAGGAGCCATTCTCTAGCGTTATTGTTCCATGTAGCGTTGTCAACAATTTCATGAGTTCTGAGCATGACTTAGTTCACGTTTCCGGTTGATCTTTCATCAATTCCGATCTCTCTAATAGCAATAGCTGTTATCGTAACCTCTCTTGATGATCACATGATCTATATTGATGTAAAATGAAGAAGGTGATTCCTAGACTCAAAATAAGACAAAAAATTAGGTGGACAGTTTTCCACAGCTGCCATTGTCATCGTCATAACAAAATGAATTAGAGTTGAATACAACGAAGTATTAAATAGAAATTGTGGCAAGTCAGCAAATGTAAGTTGATAATAACTACGTGAGAATTAGTCCAGCCTCCTAGTTATAATTCTGAAAGGGTGCAATCATGATTGAATTATGCGAGTGGGCAAGATGAAATATGTCAACGGAATTTTATAACTGCACAAATTAACCCGGCCCTTTTACCTGAGGCAAATAATGAAATACTGTTTGTTTTTTGGATCATAAAACTGCCGTTAAATTTCCCTCTTTCAAACTGCGTCACAAGCACTGGAGGATGTCAATCTTTTTCTTTGTGTTTTAAGATCTTAGGTCCTTTCCCTTTGTCAACTTCTTTTCCTGTGTACGTGCATGTTAGCAAATTATAGGGTTGACCTGCTGCCAGTTACATAACCTGACGCATAACGTTTCCGTTCCAAAGCTTTGGACAGCTGTAGCTTAGATCACGCTACATGGCTACCTGTCAATTATTACAGTTTCAAATTTAGTTCAAAATAATTTTGCGACATACTTGCGGTTTTTCTCTCACTTGAGCGTATTTTTTTATTTCCTGTTTTTGTGTTCTTTTTTTGTTTTTAATGGTGAAGCAGTAGTTTCCACGGTTTTTAAACACGATGTCTTCCGGCTTGTGTGAGCATTTTATACTTACCACAAAGGAAATGCCCTTCATTCATCATGAACAACAAAACAAAAGCTGCCCCCACATACGTCAGCAGAATTTAACCAAAGTCTAAGTCCTATGTACACAACAATTGACGTTGATTCTTGTGATATAGAGCATGTCAAATATGACGTCGAACATTCCAGGGTCTTCCAGCGGAAACCCTGTCATCCGTGAGAAATAAAGTCACATGTCTCTAATCTCTCGAGTATTGTTATCTTATAAGCATGTAAACAAAGCAAAATTTGCATTTGACGAGTTCACACAACACCGGCAGCATCTCGGTCTGATCTCTGTATTCGCGCCATCGCCATGAACAAGTGGATGATATCTCGATATAAGGTTCGATTTAAAGGTCGCGGTGTCGATGTGTACAGTGGTTTCTACGACATACTGGCTTGGATTGTACAAATTCAGTTAGATTCTTTATACTTGTTTGGTTCGGTGTTGTTAGCACTTCAAGTTATGTGGAGGAAATTATTTCCAATTTCGCAGCAAAAAGTAACGAAGACAGACATCTCTCTCTCGTCAGAACACTACGACTCTCGGACTTTTACCGTTAGAGAGTTACAGCAGTATGATGGTATTCAAGAGAAAAGAATATATTTTGCCGTCAATGGAAAGGTGTTCGATGCTACAAACACAAAGGACATTCAATTTCTCGACGGACCTTTCAACTGCTTTGCGGGTCGAGATGCCAGTCGTGCGTTAGCAACCTTTACTCTAACTGAACAATTGAGTAGCTTATCTGAAATGGACGACCTGTCGGACCTTAATCCTCTCCAAATGGATAGTCTGTTTCATTGGGAGATGCAGTGTTCAGAAAGATACCCACGTGTAGGAACACTTGTTCGAAGTCATCAGCCACGTGCTCTTCAATACGCTTGCATAAGAACAATTTGCGCCTCTATTAGTGAACTGAAAGGTCCATTAAGAGAGAAGGTGGCAGCTGAGCTCCCTCTACCAAAACTCCTCAGGAATAAAATTATATCGTCTAGATAGAATCCGCCAGCGTGTATCCCGTCTCTAACCAGCTGGCTGGTACCTCAGAGATAATCAATTATGACGCCTAAGGTGCTATTTTCTGAGCATTTTTATAGAAGTGGCCTTACGCTGTAAAAAAACGCCAAAAATTTCTGTCATTTCATGTAACGGATAGTGTGGGTTTTATTGAACAGACAATTAAGCTTATAAGCATTGTATAGGGCTTTGTTTTGTTTTGTTATGCACTATTTATATATCGCAGCCTGTCAAATATTTTGATCTTGTTCAAGTAGTCAGAGGCGATGTGCCATTTGTATTCATTGTTAACATGGAATAATGGTGGCAGTTGTCCAAGACTGAGTGATTGTAAATTGAAACAAACGACTCAACACAAAGGAAAAGCATAATGCCATTAAGGATGGCTGTAAGTCGTAACATCATAAATAGCTCGACACAGCCAGCCAGCAGCTGCACCGCTGGTTAAAATAGCGCTGGAAAATTATTTTTAGATTTTCAATTTTAATGACAATAAAGAGAGAATGAAAGATAAAGCTTGTAGTGAATTCTTGCGTAAGACTTAAACAAAAGCTCCCAGTAATGTCTAGTAATGAACAAAAAACAGAAATAAATCTTAAGCGATAAGCTTTCTTTACAGATCAACTGATTAAACCGCTGAGTTTCCTCACAGGTCTACCAAACTCCTTGGGAGCCGTGATTGCGTAACAGTGTAAACATAAGAGTTTGTATGGGAATGTAACGATATATTTGGAGAGAATGACTCGCTGTAATCCCTTTGAAACTGTCCCAAAACGTCACCGAAACACAAGTAGCATACACAAGAGTCGATTTAAGTCGTTTTTAGTGAATTTCTTGTCCATATTTTTAACCGTTATAAACGATCTACATAACGTGTTTGGGAGACCTGTGGTTTTTCTCGTATCAAAATTAGTTCCAGTGTTTTCATTGCTAAGATAGATAAGATAACTTAGATAACTTTTTTGCTGGTTGAAACATATGCATTATTCTCCTTCGCCAAGACTTCCGCTGCCGTGTATCTGGCAAAAAAACCCAAAAGATCACAGTTCCGAGTGACTGCAAGTTTGTGTGTACACAGCCGGAGAGGAAACTTCTTATCCAGGCAGACCGGAAGGAGCCTGGTGTGGGAAGTTAAACAGTGCAAGGGAGGCAAACTGACCGCGGTAGTCACGTTTTGAAGCTGAGGTATCTCATCTTTTTTCTGCTCTGAAAAATTCGCTACTATACGGCGGTTATTTATCTTTATCAAATTGAGGTTGATGACAGTAACCGAGTGTTCCACTTGCCCGCCGACGCAGCCCTACACTTTGTTTAGAAATTGATACCTTAGGACCCTCAGCGCACAGGAGGGACAAGCTGCTTCGATTTCACGCTACGTGGCACTCAAATAACACGGGGACTGCACATGCAGGAGTTTACCGCACCATTGTATGAATGAACGGACGGTCGAACGGTCAAACGATAGGGATCAACGTAATATTACTAACTATTCAATAAGTAAATGCAGTAAATGCTGATAAATACATTAAATGTAGTGACTGTTGTCTATTGCGCAGCGCGTTTGTACAGGTGTGTGAGCTCTTCGTCATAGCAAAGGCCTAACACACATTCTGACCACATGGCAAGGACGTTCGTGTGAGGTCCTTTTCGTAACCATGGATATTACTTCTAATTCTTCGTCGATTTCGTTTTTTTTTCTTAAATATAATCATGTGTAGTAGCAAGTGTTTACAGTTGAACCTCTCCAGCCGTTATCCTGAGAGGTGGGGGTGTAATATGAAACCTTTTTATTCGGGCCGGAGCGCAACATTTTTTGTCAAGAAATGCTTATTTTGGCATACCGGTATGTAAATCAAAATGCATCAATAAAACAGAAACTAAACAGAAGCAGAGACCCACGACACGCGGTACAGACCAAGTTTGGTGACCTTTTACAATAAAAAAACGGATTGCCTGTCCGTCATCGAAAGGTTAATGTGCATTTGGGAGGCGTTTTAGTGGCCGTTTCCATTGTGGAGAGGTTGAAATAAGAGTGAACGTGTGAACTGTCCGCTGGGACCAAAGAAAGTGGCCGTTTTAGAGAGGTGGTAGTTGTAGAGAACATATTCATGTTGCCATGCGTCTGGTTAGTAATTGATCACGGACGATGTCAAATATGGTACGAACAAAACTGCGTGGCCCACAAGTCGATAGCCGAGTGTGTCACTGATGTTCTATTTATATGAATCTATAAGATTTGTTTTATATAATAAAGAAACAACAAAAAAAAAAACTGTTAATGATGTCATCTATGCGTCTGTTCTTCGATTGATCATAAGTTAGAAGTAATCAAAATGGAGAATCAGTACTATTTAGTCTAACCCGGACGCTAGTCGGGCAAACCAGCGTGCTTTTTAAGGTAACCATAGGTCAACAGGAATGCTATTTCGGATAAGAAACCAGCATGCTATTTAGTGTAACCAGCATGCTATTTACGCTAGCCAGCATGCTATTTAGGCTAACCGGAGGGCTATTTAGGTCAACCGGAGGGCTATTTGGGTTAACCAAAATGATATTTAGTCGTAGAGTACTATTATTAGAGTAACTATGCTCGTTCCCAGTGCATTCAGAGCTCAGAGTCGATTCCTCCATTCAGTCGCAGCTCTTACCTTCACGTCCCTACATCTTGGTATCATATTTGGCATTGTCAAATAATCAAAATGGCAGCAAAAACTAAATGGCGCAAAACGAGGCTGATGTATCAAACACAAAAGACCATGTTCGAACTCATTTCCAAACACCGAGAACAGAGTTGAGAATACAACGCTGTTTTGACGAACTTTGAGGTGTTTGGAAATGTGGTCAGAGTGTTGAGTGTTTGATATATATTCTCAATCGAAGCTAAACTAAGTACTTTTAGGTATTTCCGGTAATTATGAATCTGCTTTTCGGTATTCTTCATATAAAATATTGCACGAAATAGGATCAAAGAGGAGCTTGTTGTTAGGAAATGATCACATTGAAAACCCTAAAACCTTCAAAGATATGAAAGTGTAAAGTATTTTTTTCTTCTATTTTCTCAGATTGGCTTTATTAGCATGAATTTAAATGTACATGGTTAGTCCCCGGCAAGTGCTGCAAAGTAATTAGGGACGTGATCTTTGGGAAATAACATCCATCGAACTTTTTAAATTGTTTCACACCTTAACAATGGATGCAGAATGGATCGGTTTCATTACAATAAAGACATTTACTATGTGTTTCAATTGCATACCGTATGATAAACTTCCGAAAGTAACGACCCTCGTTATTTTAGTAGCAGCCTTTGAGGCTCTTTACTTTCGAGGGGTCGTTACTTTCGGGGAGCAAAAAACGTTATGTTAAGTCGGTAGCACTGAGCTCTTTTTACGAAACAAAACACGAAAATTCGTAAGAACAGTTCTTAAAACATAATACACAATTCTTCGCTCCAGTTTAACTCTCTGTTGCTGCCACATGGGTGGGCTCTTCATGTCTAGACCGTGTTGTCATTGGTTAGCAGGAAAGCTAGTCAGACTGATACCTTAAACTGTATGTTTTTATTTCTTCTTCATGACACACTCCTATGTCAGTCTGCTGTAACAATATCTCAGTACGCTCGTCGAGTTTTCATTTTAAATGTAAAGAAACGTTCCTTTTAATACCCTCCTGTTGAAAATGATATCAATTTGAATCAAAGTTTGCTATACAGTCCAGGTATAGTACGTTCCTGTTACTTAATGAAAATTGTGTTTTAACACAATGCAACATTAACTGATGAAGCACGAATTGACATTTCACAACGCTTCATGGCATAAGCGATTCTTTTCCTTGTTATAGAGTGCCTTAACTCACCTGAAAATTGATGGAAAACAAATATACTATTGAACCTTGGTCTCACTATTTTCGGGGAGGGGGTGAGGGTGGGTTGCTACTTTCGAATTGCTCGCTACTTTCGGGGGATCTCTACTTTCGAGGGGTCGTTACTTTCCGAAGTTTACGGTAAGTATGTAACTCTTTCTCGGACTATTATTCTCTGGAGTAATTTGTAGTTGAATGCTCTAATGTTGTTTCCATGGCATGTTTTGCTTGAGTGTGAAGAGTCTAAGTCGTTCTTTGAAAAAACAATAATTAGAAATACAAATTCAACTACTTTCAACCATTTGCCAAATATTTCTTATGCTGTCAAAAGCTTAGTTCTAAAAAGTGTGGCTTCAACTAATTTATTAAGAAATTACACCTCAAATTAAACTTCGCTGTGAAAATCTCCTTTAATCTGTACTATAACAGCAACAATAAGGAGTCAATGGTTGCCTAAGGAAAATTCTCTCCTAATGAAGTCTTAGTAAAGATCTGTAAATAGTGTAAACAGTGTAAGTAATATTCTATATCAAAATTTTGTAAGTAATGTAGCTAATCACTATTTTGAAATTAAAGTAAAGAATTAAAGCTGGATGATTGCAAGTATT